AGACACCATGAGAATATTTATTACATATAGTAATTCCAATTCTCCATTTACAGTTGAATTTGGATAGTTCATATTTAATACATAAAAAATCATGAACATATTCAAACGGATCTATTATTTAACCTAACACTTTCATGGACCAACATACTTTAATTATGATAAAACAAAGTATGTTCTAAATACATTTTATTTAAATAACTTATTCGTATAACTGGTTGATATTTGTTTAATAAATGATGTCTAAATAAATAGATAACTAAGTAACTGAGTAATTGAGTAACTAAGTAACTAAGGAACTAAGTAACTAAGTAACTAAGTGACTAAGTAACTAAGTAACTAAGTAACTAAGTGACTAAGTGACTAAGTAACTAAGTAACTAAGTAATTAAGTAACTAAGTAACTAAGTAATTAAGTAATTAAGTAATTAAGTAACTAAGTAACTAAGTAATTAAGTAACTAAGTAACTAAATAAGCAACTAAGTAACTAAATAAGCAACTAAGTAACTAATTAACTAAGTGACTAAGTGACTAAGTAACTAAGTAACTAAATAACTAAATAACTAAATAAATACATAAATACATAAATAAATAACTAAATAAATACATAAATACATAAATAAATAACTAAATAACTAAATAAATACATAAATACATAAATAAATAACTAAATAAATACATAACTAAATAAATAAATAAAATTCATTTTACACAACCCCAAACAAATTTCTCGTTCACCTCCTTCCTGGACCACAATATCTCAACTGACTTCCAAGACTCCAATATTCTCCTACCAATTCGAAGTCTCTTTCTAAACGTGTCGCACCGAGAAATCGACGGGTGTTGTCAGTTCGCTGTATGGTCATGTAGGACAGGCGCAGCCCGGTTGAGTTACTACGCCTCCTCGGATTTCATCGGCCGGTAATTCAAATCCCGATTAATTCGGTGAGCTTCAACGACCTGGAGCCAGGGGGCTTCGCGTTAGAAACGAATTTCGCTAATCCAGTCCGGCAACGACGACGTAGGTCGTTTCACTTCGCAACCTGCTCCACTTAATCTAGGATTGAGATAAGAATTTATGAATCTAGTGTATTTGGCGAGAAATGAAAAATTAGGTTGAAGTGATGATGGAAATATTGATTTTGGAATGTGAATAGGTGTTGAATAAGAAAGGGTGGGTTTAGTTTTCTTGTAGTGTGTTGTTTGTTTTTTAGTGGGTTATATGGACTAATAGTTTGACTACTAGGTTCAATGGACTACTAGTTTAGCTACTAGGTTCACTGGACTACTAGTTTATCTACTAGGTTCACTGGACTACTAGTTTATCTACTAGGTTCACTGGACTACTAGTTTATCTACTAGGTTAAATGGACTAATAATTTAACTACTGGGTTGAATGGACTACTAGTTTAACTACTAGGTTAAATGGACTACTAGTTTAACTGCTAGGTTCGTTGAAGTAGTAGTTTAATTACTAGGTTCAATGGACTATTAATTTAACTACTGGGTTCAGTGAAGTAGTAGTTTAATTACTAGGTTCAACGAAGTAGTTTAAGTAGTTTAACTACTAGGTTAAATGGACTAATAATTTAACTGCTGGGTTCAATGAACTAGTAGTTTAATTATTAGGTTCAACGAAGTAGTTTAAGTAGTTTAACTAATGGGTTCAATGAAGTAGTTTAAGTAGTTCAACTAATGGGTTCAATGAAATAGTTTAAGTAGTTCAACTAATGGGTTCAATGAAGTAGTTTTACTACTAGGTTCAATGAACTAGTTTTAGTACTAGCTTAAATGAACTAGCTTAACTGCTAGGAGAAATGATGTGCTAGTTTAACTACTAGGTTCAATGAACTACTAGGTTAACAGAACTAGTAGCTTCTACTACTAGGTTCAATAAACTAGTAGCTTCTACTACTAGGTTCAATAAACTAGTAGCTCCTACTACTAGGTTCAATGAACTACTAATTTAACCACTAGGTTCAATGAACAAGTAACTTAATTACCAGATTAAATGAACCAGTATCTAACTACTGTCAAACCAACTAGTACCTTATTAATATTAAAATTAATCAACAATATACAGTCGTTTATTTAAACGATGATAATTTATTATTTTTCGTTGTCAACACAAACTTCGTTTTTTTAAAAATATCTTTTATTAAATATATATATATTTCTATCATATACACGCACATCCATGAAGTTCACATCAGTATTAACCTACACGTCCACAAACATAAAATTCAATTATTTTTAATACGATCTACATGACGTGAATTCAAGCACAATCATGGTACACCATGACACCGTGACGCGTCTACAAATATTAAATTCAATTATTTTTAATACGATCTACATGACGTGAATTCAAGCACAATCATGGTACACCATAACACCATGACGTAAGGGCGCACGAATTACGCAGGCTCGCGTTTAAAAACGAGGAATCCTTTTCTCACGTTCCTACCGCACGTTACGCCTCCGCGCGAGGCATACCCACTAATTTATCACGACCCATGACTC